CCCAGCTACGCCACTGATGTCTATGTTGACGAGCACCGGAGCGACCGAACAAAAGTTCTCCCTACATGCCTATGTTGACGAGCACCGGAGCGACCGAGCAAAAGTTCTCCCTACATGTTTCTGTGACGAGACGGGAGCCCTAAAACTTTTAGGCTAAAAGTCACTAAGAAGTCAAGTATTAAGGAGCTAACGTCTGGTATAAAATTTCAGACCTAACTTTACAGTGCCTATGACATTATTCACTATCATACTCCTTGAACGAGCGCGGGAACCCTCGTCACAGCGTTTCAATTTGGCAACTAGCAATGCCACTGACCATAGGAATTTACCTATATCGTTATAAGATTATGCACGAGGAGCTGCCATCTGTGTGGTGCACCACTCTGTTGTAGAAAGTGGTCATATCCTCGAACTATGAACTCTCATCATCGATCCTAGTCAGATTCGATATTCTCACGGATTTTGTTTGACGCCAATAAGTTCTGTTCTCGTGCCTCTCCCGAAAAGGCACTGATAGCCGCATCTGTGGGACTACATATATGTACGTATACGCTGCTCTTTTTCCTTTCGTGTTGGAGGAAATATTTTTCTCTTTCATCACTAACCACAGTATTCGTGTTCTGACTGTCTGCTGTTAGACGAACAAATGAGAATTTCCTCGGAGTTTTCATATTGCCACCAACATATGGAGTTGATTATGCGCATATTTTGTCCCATACTGTTACACAGTGAAGATATCTGTCCCAGCCCTAGAGATTTCATATTGTGTCAATGACACGAGCATTCGACATGGGCTCTTCCTACTACACAAGGTACCATCCACCTTAGTCCCACATCAACTGAACAAACACCAGTAGTTTTCGCAACATAGCACCTCATGAGTCACAGTGAGTGACGTGAATGATGACCTTGGACGCACGGGCGACCAATTCGGCTTGAACAAGGTGCCATGCAGCAAGATTAGGATCGTAGTAGAACATGTGAGATCTCGGTCGATAGGCGGTGCAACGAATCGTCGAGCAAGGATGACTTCGATAACCCTTTCGTGTACTTATGTTTCTGAGTTCTCAACCGGCTCTTCCAAGGTGGTACCAATATAATCTCGATTAGGACTTTCGGAAAGACTGGTATTACTTCGTGAATGGCGAAGTGAAGGGTGCGTGAAACCTCGTGTTTGACAACAGTTGGAATTTGTCTTATCACCCAACGACAGGTCGTACAGACTTTACTCACTAAGACTCGTAAACTAATGCTACCCATCATAAGTCTTTCTTCTCCAACTCCAACCTATATATTGACAAAGTCAAAACAATAAGGCAAGAAAACGAATGATGAAGAGTAGCTGGTTACAGAGATCGTACACAGGAAGTGAAACGACTCAGATGGAACAAGCCAGGAGATCTTATCGATGGCAGAGCCCCAAGCCACCGACAATCCGAAACTCGGATGATAGATAACAACCATTATCATCAACATACTGCGGCATTCTCATGCAACAAAACGGGGCAAGATTACCGAACAGCAGGTACAAAGAAGAAAACAGTCAAGTGTGGCAATTTGAAACAACAACAACAGAGACGACGAGCGTGATACTCGCAGACGTTCAGAAATCTTTAAACGCATCATCGTACTCAGCATCGTTGATACTAGGGGATGAATTCTCAATCGATTCAGGATACCTACAAAGCAACAGGAACAATCTCGCTCGCCACTTAATATGTCATCCTCACCTGTCGAACATCGACGTATCATCAGGGCCTCGTACTTGGGGTATAAACGGTGCTGGTATTTCTCTATTGATGGCCGCTTCCCAATCGATACTCTTGAACCTGAACACGCTCATCAAACTCCCTATACCGAGAAGACGGATACTATGTGAACTTCAAACTGTTGCCGAGAATGTTGAAGATACTTACTGATGCTAAGAGGGTGTCCCCACCAGGATTCGATGTTTGATCATAAAATGCATTCAAGATATGCTTCCGGTGAGATTACTATTTTCCCTGTGTGGGAATGTATGTACATGGTCAAATACTGTGTTGGGAAAAATATGAAAATTGTGTGGACTTGTGCTTCCAAATAACAGGTGAGCAAAGATAACCAAAATTTACCACCTCAATTTTACTATTCTCAGCGATAGAGTATTCAATCTACTCACCATTTGTGCCGTTTGATATCTTCTACACCATCGCGTAGGGATCCGTATCGTTTAACTCTATCACGTACCAGCAAATGCTTGACTAGGTCCTTAGCCTTGCTGTCAAAATGCTTAGGGAAGTCTATTCGACCGACTAAAACCTGATAACAAGGTAACAAAACCACCATCCAGGTTCGAATCCCAGCACCTACCTTTTGGTATATTCCAAATGGATTCTCATCATAAAAAGGAGGGTAACCAGCGATCATCTCAAAAATAAGGATGCCCAATGCCCACCAATCTACAGCCTGTCCATGACCTATCACATCACGTTATCATAATAACAAAAATCTTCACAGTGCGCTAAGGTACTCCTCGAGACTTGATCGATTTCACCTTTAGACTGAATTATCTCTGGTGCCAAATACTCCGGGGTTCCGCATAATGTCCACGTCCGATCCGTCACGACCTTCGCAAATCCAAAATCGGTAATCTTGATATGTCCTGACAGGAAAGAATCTACTATGAGAAGCACTCAAAATGTGGTAACACTATCTACCTTCAAAATCAATTAGAAGATTCTCAGGCTTCAAGTCGCGATACACCACGTTCAAACCTGGAACGAGACGAGCCCGATGTGACGATTTAACCCGAGCGAAAACGTCGGATCGAGTCACATCCAATGAAGATGACGAGAACTACAGTCCATTTATAAGCATCTTCCCTCATCCTAGATAAACATGAACTTACTGTGCATGTATTGGAAAGCCAATACGATCTCAGCTGCATAAAACCTCGCATCCTCATTGGGCAATCGTCCTTCCTTCCGGAGGTGCGAAAACAGCTCGCCACCATTCACGTACTCCATCAGCATGAACAATCTCTTGTCGTCACGAAATGTTGCAAAACTGCATCAGCAACAACAACAAAAACGTCGGCCTCGAAAATTCTCGCGCGCCACAAAAATATCACAACAGCATCAACAACAACCACAACCGTATGTCTCACAGATTAACGATGAAGGGATGACTGAGATTCTCCAATATTGCCCTCTCAGCCCGAACATGTTCAACCTGATTTGTTACAACATGTTCACCTTCGCTCCGCCCTCGATAACTACACTTGTTGCACCCACCTGTCTCAATCGTACAATTTCTGACTTCTTCAAAATCTTTAGTGCAAAAGGCGTCCGATCCTTAGACCCCTTTATCTTCACCACACGAACTCTGCCGAAAGTACCTAACAATAAGGGACGCCACCATGACAACAGGATGATATCTTCGCATGAGAATTACCAGTGCCTACAGTAGCCCTCAGATCGAAGTCCTCAAGACTATACCGCGCTTTTTTGGAAATCAATGCACGTTGTTGCGCGATTCGGTCATTATACTCTCGCTGGAAACCACCGATGTATCAAAATCATAACTGCGCCCCTTGCCTACACGTTTGACACCAAAACTGCCCTCAGCGTGGCAATCTGTCGAACAACCATCGATATCTGATGTTAAGAAGACTTCCACTCAAGGTCTTCACGTCCACGATAAACTTCAACACCACCACGGCGATACAGAGTATACTGTGAATTCTGGTGACCGAAGAAATTGTAAAGACACACTCGGCATTCAGCGCATATAACGAGAGCATATGCGAGCGCGTATTCGCATATAGCATATAGCGAACATTCAGCGCAGTTTTAGTCGCCATATTCAGAAAGTATCCTAACGACTGATCGAGTCCATTGAAACCCCCTGGTGAGTTGATCAGTTCAGCGGTTCAGCCTGTGTTCAACTCATACATTTCTTTACCCAAGAAACCCAGCAGAGGCCCGATGATATATTCTATTATGACTGAACTGCAATCCAAAACAGAACAACGATGATTTTGCGTCAATCTCGAATACTACACACAACCACAGTACATCCTATCACCACTACTACCACGTCTTCCCACATCCGAATGGTGTCTATCATGATGATTTAATGATACCAAACTGGCGAGGGAGCGGAGTACTGACACGCAGCAGATCTACTACTACGACATCCCTAAGAAACTCCGCTTACCGTCTGTTGTGCTCATGGAGTGGGATCGAACTCGGCTCCGGGACTTCTTACCAAACATTCTGCTGCTGCTACTACTCGCCGCCTCGTGATGGAGGGTATCGGAACCGCCACAAACTGACCACCCACGACTATTCGTTAAATCTTGCTGCTTTCCACACACGAGAAGATTGTTCGGAAACACACGACTACCCGATTAATGCAACCAGGGATCGAACCAACGACTTCTAGCATGCTACTCGGCAACTACAACGGCTAGGCCAAACAAGCCGAATCACTAAGCCCGACCAGTTGCACAACTAAGCGATGAATGAACAAGAAACCTCTATCACATCACAAAACATGAGATTATCAATCTCGGGCTGCACTGCAGATGAATGGGAATATACTCGTCCCTGGACTCTTCTTTAGAGAATATGTATCATCATCACCAAACTCAACCTGGCCGATACCTTTCACATCGGTTCACCTCCACCACCTCCAGTACCTCGTGTATAGGATACTGCTTACCCTCGCTTTTGTTCATCGAAGCTTCGACCAATTCTGCGGCCTCCGTGACTATGGTTCTAAAGAAGTTCAGGTCGGAACGGGAGGAACAATTTCACACACGGAGACAGGGGCCTCGTGAGAACTCGTCACCACTCTGTAGCAGACAGCTGAGGACTCGCCGTTCACCACAGATTAGGACCACCAACATCAGAGTGACCAATGATCCATAATTCATGATCAGTGAACTGCTACCTGAGAAGTTGTCTAACTCGTAGGATGGAGTTTCTAGTGTTATTTCTCGGCAAGACTTCCTCTGCCAACCACAACACAGGTGACCTGCTCGATAGCTGTATGACAGTCACTCACGTCCTGTTCCCGACTATCACTCGCCAGCTGCCGCTTACACCGTCCAAACCAACAAAATTCTATTCCCGTGCATTCGAAGAGCTCATTGCTAGGGTCTGCCGTATACTTCTAAGCACCACTGGACTGTCCGATTTTATATCAACTCTTACCAACTTTAGAACAGTTCATATTCCGTCTCCGCCACTCACCGGTATCGATTCGTGCTGATATCAGAAACACCATGTTTGCGTGCTCTTGACAATCGTGCTCTTCACCTGCAGATGTCGATCGTAGTTATACCGATTCATGTGGAAATAGACGACCAATGAGGCTCCACCGATGATAACAAAAGAAACTACTTCGGTTCAACACGACGAGTCCAACACCACTCCCATCGAATAGTAAGGACACAAAACGGATGAAGGAAGACCATTGAAGTGCAATAATACAAGTAGAGGTCAGAATCCTAGAAGTCCCAGTCACCACCACCATCACCACTGAACCAAGAGCCGCCGCTATCATCAGTCATTCCCTGATCATTATCGCTACCTGAACGTAGGAATCGTGGCGTAGACCCGCTTGAATTAGGTGTATTACTGAACCACGAAGTACCATTGTCGCCCTCCAATCCAGTCGACGAGTCGTTCGTAGCAGTAGTAGACGAGGAGGACGACTCCATCGCCGACGATGAGTCTGAAACGGAATTTACTACAACGGCACAGACGCCACTCATTCAAACAGTAGCAATGAACGAGAGAGGAAGCTATTCAATCGCCTCAGAGCTTCAGTACCACTACTTCCGTATTCCCTGCTCAACAGGGTGGGAGGAATACACGTCCGCTCTCCTCAGCTGGGCTCAGGAGTTTCCTCACTAGTTATAGAAGCTTAAACGAGCTTGAGTAGATGTGTCGAAAACCCAACAAAAATTTCCCAAAATTTCCTCAGAATTTTTCCGAAATTTTCCTATTCTCGCCGACACATAGTTAACGATGTGCATATTTCCCCACACTGCTCCTCAATGGGGCCGCTATGCCACTCCATAACGTGCATTGGTGCAATGAATTCCCTAGACCCGCGGCGAAGTCATTCTAATTTCGACGACGTGCGAGGCTTATTATACTCGATGGGGCCGATATGCCATTTCATGACTATCACCAAATTCCATAAAAAGATTCTTCCAACAACATACGCGTTCCAACCCCGAGGTGGCATACCTGCCCCAGAGGAATAGACCTCACTACAATATAGACACCGGGCAGATATTTTCAGCGTTTTTGGACGAGTCAAAAATACACCATTCTCCATTGCACTCATCACTACCGGTTTAAAACGTCGTCCACTCAAAGATGTAAATACAATATCTCGTTACGGTGAATACATGATAAGTTCACTAAGGAACCACCATAATTACCTTCATTATGATGTACAACCTCCATTGTTCTCGGTCCGAACAAGCCATCCATCATTCTCATCCCCATACCCCATCCTAATCCTGACGCCATGCCGTCAGCAATGGCTCCGAGTATTCCTACCAT